TGATAATAAGACCACAGTTGACCGAGGTGTATAACCAACTTCTACCATGACACTTGAAAAACAACCACCAGCTGCTGATAATAAGACCACAGTTGACATACATACAACATATCTAACAGGCTAGGCCAGTAAAGAATCAACCAAACTTGATAAATGGACTAATAAGAGCATAAGCGTAGAGTACCAAACTGCCAATCAATTAATTATTTAACGAGATAGGTTTATATTTTTACGAGCTAGGTTAATATGAAAAATAATTGACCTACAATACTGCAATCTGATTGGTCAATCGCAAGGTGGCATGGTAGAAATACCATAGAAACCTCTACCTCTGTGTATAACCTATACTTATAAAAAAATCCCATTATCTGGACTCTTGAAAATAACAAGAAAATTAATGATGAGATTTAATACACAATAATTACATGTACATGTACATACTATGCATGTACAATACAGTCTCTCTCAAATGGGAGAGTTCCTTATCTATAGATGCATTGCTATACATACTGTACTGTACACTGTACATGTAAATCAAAAAGTACATGTACATGTACATGGATATTGTTCATTACTCACTGAATTTGATGTCCCCATTCTGTCCCTCTCTTTCATTTCCATTGACCTATTGAGTCCAATCTGTACTGGGATTGGAGCTAACATCAAGTAGTAAATCTGAGGGGGCGGGACACTGGTCTGTGGCCACACCTTCAATATCTTCTGAATACCTCTACCTACAATGTGTATATTTGTGTGTAAGATGAAGATCTGAAGGGGGAGAGAGAGAGAGAGAGAGAGAAGGGAAAACTGAAACTAAATGTACATATACTAACCTCCTCTGGGTGGCATAATGATTGTTGGTAATGAACAACTAGGTAGAGTTACTTCCTAATAGAACAATGAATACATAACTTCTTCTATTTCACTCTTCCTCCCTCATTCCTTCTTTATTCCTCCTCTCTCTCTCTCTCCCTCTCATTCACCTCCGCCTCTCTCTCCCCTCTCCCCTTCCTTCCTCCCCTTCTCCCCCTCTCTCCCCTTTCTCTCCCTCTCTCCCTCCCTCCCTCTTTCTCCCTTACTAATGAGAGGAGTCCTTCAGGTAGACAAGGTATAAGGAACAGTTTATTGGCCACGTCTTCAATGGTCTCCCAAAATGAGTCCTCCCTCTCCTCCTCAGATAACAGTCTATACATTCTACAATAAGAACCACATTATCATTATAGATAATACATGTAGTTTATAAAATCTTATACAAGTACATTTGTACATATACAGTACATGCAGTAATTGTACATGTACATGTATTGTATAGTGTAATGGGAAGCATTGGGAGGAACTAATGGTTGGCCAAAA